ATGTACTTTTAGATTTTGGGCGGAGCTATGAATGTATTGATTGTATGATGATGTATTGATGTGTATTTATCTTATATGTATACAAGGTAAGTAGGTAATCAAAAAAATGTTTTGGTTTTTAACTTAGAGGGTTGTTTTTGATACCAAATTATCAGATCTAGTTGGTACTTTTGACAGGTTAAAATTGAAAAGTCCAGTACTTGTCACCACTCACTAGTGTTAGGAAAAATAAAAAAATTAATTAAGGTCAGGTAAGGACATTTTACTCAAAACCAGTTTTCGACAAAATCTTGTTTTTTTTATGTAACTCAAAAATGAATAACTGTAAAATGTATAGATACTAGAAACTGTATTGTATGTATTTTAAATTATGAGTGGAGCAAAATGAATTTATTGATTTTACAATGAGGTAATCTATTTTTTGTGTGTATATGTGTATTGTGTTCAGTGTTCACACTTGTGTTGTGTACTTACACATTTTATACTAAAAAAATTATTTTGAATTTTATTTTTAAGGATGATTACTGCATAATAATAGTGATTTAGTTTAGTTATTTTTCAATAAATGTTGATGACAATTTTTTCGCTCGATCCTACAGTTTAAACATTTAATACCAAGTTGTATATAAGTTGTTCACATAGCATTCAAAAAAGTATAGAAAATACATATAAAAATAATATTTTATTATAATAACCAATAAGTAGGTACCTATTACAATTTAGAATGTTAAGAAAATCGTGAAAATCTCGAAAATATGCAAAATATTTTATAGTTGAAAGTTTAATGAAAATGTTCTATCTATACAAAATATTTGAAAATGTAATACAAGATTTCTCATAAGTTTTCTTGCCTCTAAAAAATTGTACAGTTTTTTTTAAATTTTTACATTATTTATCAAAATCACTCAAATTTGGAAATTATTTTGTAGATAAAAATATATTGAATGTTCATTTTTTTCTAGCTAAGCATTGTAAATTTAAACCCAGTATCTCATAAATAGTTTAAACTGTAACCAGAAAATCTTACGAGTATAATAAACACAGCTTTTTTTACAGACATTTTTGTTTGAAATTTGGACGAAACTATATATGTTTCTAAAGAAGTAATAAACAATTTTAGTTTAGTGGGTATCTGTAGTTTCTTGTGTTTAAAAAATAGTATTAGTCGGTACTTGAATCTTTTAAAGTATATTACTATATCTTATGCACACAATGACATTTTCAAAATGAATATTTTTGGCAGAAATTAATTCAACCTACTGTTAATAATTAAATAAGGAGTAAAAAAAAATAATTTAAAAGCAATATAATATCTTAAAATATACTTTTTTCGACTGTATTGGCTCTGAATTGATTTTCGTATACAAATATTTTATATCATTGATTATAATTTAACACATCCATTACAGTGACTTGCAAGTCGACACCGTACAGCATACTGGTGTACCCACTTGCCTACCTATTTTTTCAATGCGTAGGTATATCTTAATTTTCGATAACTGCATATGAGATCATTTGATTTTCTAAAATTGCACGTACTTTAGAGTATAGCTGCTGCTAAAAAAATAATGGCTGAGTGTAAGTCACGACTCACGGTTATATAGCCTTAATAACTTAACCTGTTAACTTCGGGTTTTAAGGAGTTCAATATAGGCAATTGTCTAAGTACTCAGTGAGGATCGTGTGAAATATGTTTGTGTACCGTGTAGTAAATGGTCATTAGTGCGTGTTGTATGCGTGTGACTGCATGTAAAATAAATAGCATATGTACACGCACATATCTCTATTGACGCACTATACGCCTATAGGTATATCAATTATTTTGTTTTTTTTTTTTTTTGTCAAATAAGTCTGAACATCTAGTCTTCTGCAAATCCGACATATTCATCATATTCAGTTTTTGATAAAAAAAAAATACTCCCACGTAATGAAATTTCTTTGAAAACGACTTTTTTGTAAAATTGAAGTTAATTTCTATATACATATACAATACATGGGTACATTTAGTATAAGTATATATTATTAGTTATTACGTTATGTAAGTGATTAATTAATTAACATTTCATAAGGCATGCGGAAAATAACTGATACACGAAGAGAAACTATTGGTGAAACCCTCAAAGTTTAGTTTATTCAAATTGTCATAATATGTCCACACATATCTTTTAATTGTTGTATTTTAAAGTTTATTCGTACATGGTTAGTTATACGCCGTTTACACTCCACACGATAGAATGAGGTGTGTTGAGTGGGATATGGAAAGATGAATGATTTAAAATGAACCATTTAGTAGATTTGAAATGGCGGAGGTTAAGAGTGTTAGAAGTGGGTTGATGATAGATTTGAAATCATCTGTAGAGAGAACATTTATTCTTTATTTGATGTTGATGAAAGACTTGTAGGTATTAACATTAGGTGGTACGGTGTTACCATTTACCACAGACACCGGAGTGCACAGACCTCAGCATATACATGAGTGGGCTTGAGGAATAGTTGATAGATATATGGAAATGTTCTATAGTTATATACTTGGGCATATAATATATTATATGATCCCTTAATTTGTTAATCTACTCGGTAAATTTTTTAATTACCAAGGGACTTGAACTTAATAATTTAAATAACTATAGCATTTCATATAAATAGTTAAGTAGGCAGTACCTATGCCTATATTATAGTATATAATAGTAAAATTGCATGAGCCAAAATTATTTTTGAATTTTTCTTTCGCGAATATCATATTGATAACGGTTAATATTGCAATTTACTACTATTATTACATATCACTATATAGTATGCAGTACCTACTGTACACCTATGCATTGACCACGTGCGTTCAACTTTTCACCGTTACAATAGAGTCCATAGCTACCTGTATACGAGATTATACCAACGTTTAAGAATCGATAAAACAGATAATATTTTCTATTTTTGTTGTTGCGATAATCGCGATGTGACTATTTTCATTTGAAATTATTTCTGCTTCAAAATTCCAATAAGGAATTTTCCATTCGATGTATTAATGCATTTTATAATTATATACATATGTATATACATGGGTAGTATATTTATTAATGTAAGAAATGTATGTTTAGCGTACATCGACATCATATGAGTTGTACAAAATACGTACAGTTTATACACATAATAATATGTTAATTCGTATATAAGTAGTACATGTACATTATTAGAATAATATAATACAATATATTTTTATATTATCGAAGTAACACAACTATGTATAAAATTATAAAAAATTTTGTACAAAAACTTTTATGGTAGAATTGTCGAATCCTTACAAAAAATTCATTAATTAAATGGACATTTTTTTGGTTTTATTTAATATGTTTAAATTTGCGTTTATTTAAATGTATGATAATCATATAATATTCATAATAGGTATTAGCATGTAGTAAATTGGTATATTCAATTTTTAGAGAGTATATAGGTATCGGTTTTTGGTCATGAATATATTTTGTATACTTACAACTTCCATCGAGTATAATATTTAAATAGGTAGTAATAACAGTACTAGCTAGGTATACCGCTACTATAATATATCTTAGCATTTTACACGGGTCACGCATGCAAATGTGTTTCTTAGGTAGGTTCTTTGACTTTCCTATACTGACGGTGAAAAATTTGTTTTTTTTTTATAATAATATATGGGTATAATTGGTGAATATATTATTTTTATTTACGCCGGCTCCAATCACGAAATGATAAAAAATAAATAGAATTAATTAACAATACAAATACCAACGTGTTCAATAAGACTATGTAGTATAGGTAAATTATAATATACAGTCTGCAAAAAAAAAACTATTTATTTATCGTTACCATTATTAATTCAGCAAACTCGAATCGTTTCGTCGTTAGCGCAATATTTTTTGTTCCGTGATCATCGATGATTACGTAATCTCGGTCAATTCGTTTCGAAAACAAAATGATATAATCGAATTCAAACGCGTAGTTATAGTAGTTACGCGTATAGATTCTCTTTTTACTCATTTTATTTGCCGGGAAAATAATCAATTTTCTTTCGATTTTTAGGTCGCGGTAGTCTGTCATCGAAATGTTTCCAAACGCAAGTAAAGGGCACACAAATTGTCTCCATAAGATGCCATAACAGTAATGCATTATTGCGACACAAACCATAAGCAGTTCGCACATATTCAATATAATAAGTGGGCGACAACATTAGAACTATTGGTGTTGCAATAAAATATTTTGCAGTGACTATGCCGCCATGAACCTACGGTGTTCAGATCGCGTACAGACCGCGGAGGATAATACCGAAATTATGAAAATATAATTCCATAACACATTTCACGTCATTTTATTAAAAAAAAAAAAAAAAATAGAAAATTGTAGTCGCTGTCTTTGGATTTGTCGCGCCAATCGCCGGCGAAATCGTCTGCCGTGCGACCTTTGTCGCCGACAATAATGACAATATTATTATCCACACGAAAATTCCTCTCGTCGGCGGCGGCATTGCACTGCGTCGCTATAATCTCCGCAGCTGGTGCAGCTGCCGCCGCCGCCGCCGCCGCCGATGCCGCTGCACACAAAGCGGTGACGGACGCAACCACACGCACGCACACGCACAGCTCGCACGCATACCTCACGCACACGCACGCATACCTCACGCACACGCAAACGCGCACGCACTACCTATACAATAATAATAATAATAATAATAATAATGTAGACGCCGACCGCGATCGTCTTCGTTATTATTATTATTATTATTGTTATTATTTGTGTACCAGCGGAGGAGCGCCAGCGTCGCGTCTCGTCGGTCGACGTCCGTCCGTCCGTCCGTCCGTCGTCCGTTGGGCCGCCGCGTGGGACCGGCTGCCGCGGCGGCGGCGGCGGCAGCTGCCTTGCCGGCGGTACAAAAATATTATTATTACCGCGGCGGCGGCGCGCACGCGCGTAGAGGCGTTTCACAGGCATATTTGTCGGCGGCGGTGTTTTATTGCTGCGCCGCGGACCGGCGGACCGCGGACAGGCAGTGTGCAACCAGCAACGGCGCCGATGCACCGGGTCCGTCATCGCTCGCACGCCGTCCGCGCCGCGCCGACTCTCCTCCGGCTTTTCCGTTGCTGTTCGCGCGTTCAAATCGCCGTCGTCGCCGCCGAGTCATGAGACGGCACCACCGTCCGACCGACCGACAACACTTGCACTCGCGGACACTGCGACGATAATATTACAACCTCTAATTATTATTTCGCGCCTCCCGGACCGCTCGAGCGTTTACCGCGTAAACCGCAGCGATATCCATCGTTGTTGTGACAGTTTACTGTAAGTAAAAAATGATTTAAAAAACTAAAATTAAATTACAGACAATCTGATATTGAAAACGAATGTCCGCATTGTTATTGTCAAAACGTTGATTTAAAATTCTACGACGCAATAGGCGACATCGAGAACGTCGAGAACGAGTCAACGTTTAACGACGACGACTTACCTACTGTAAAACTATAAAAATGAGAGGCGATGAGACCATAATTTTTGAACGATTATTGTGTTTGAAAATTGATACGTGTGTATATTTTGAGGTCGTTGTCGTCTTCGTCGTAAAAACGATTCGACACGAATGATTCGAGAGCTCCCCCCTTTTTGGCCGTCGACGCAAAATATAACGTCTTTTCTCTCTATTCCATTTTCGACGGATATTACACTTATTACGTGAACATTTGCCCCTCTTTCGCCTCTCGATAATTGGATTTGTATCATAGATTGTCCATCATAGATTCGATATTTTATTAACCGCACTAATTACTGTCACGATCGTTGTTCGCTGTTCGGTCGATCACTATATTTTATCATCGGCCGGCACATATTGGTCGTAACGTTATTTTACTGCGAGTCCGCCGCCGGTGTAAGATGTAAAAAAAAATTAGTAAAAACTAGTTGTTACGGTAACGCCGGTATATTATTTTTAACACGATTTATTTAGGTCGTAACGACCGCGGCGAGGCGCGCTGCGATGACGGGGCCAGGCGTTGTTTTAGTGATATAACAATATTATTACTAATACTATTATTATTATTAATATTATTGTAAGAGTTAAAGTCGAGTACCTACCGTGTTATAAATATGTGCGATACTAAAAGTGTGTGTACAGTGTGGTACGCAATCTCTATTTAATTTTTGCATAATATTTAAAAAAATAATTGAAAAAACGCTCTTTTTTACACTCGTCGTGACACATGATATCATAATATTATATCACGACGGGAGGCGGGCGGCCAAACAACGAAACGGTTGCTGCAAAAAAGCAAAAAATCGTAAATTTTCGTTATAATATTATCAGATCGGATTGCGTTGTTTGCCGTTTCGAAACTTTTTTTGCTCGCATTTATCGTGGGCACCAAAAACTATATCGCGCCATGTTGTATTATAATAATCCGACATCGGTAAAATAAAAAGCCATCTCGCGACCATGTCAACATGTATATAACAACAACATCATCGTTATAACATTTTTATACGTCATACAATATAAGTCGTTCCAATAACAATCGGTCGTTGTACAACATTGTTATTGTTATTACCTCGGTTATTACGAGGTCGCTGCTGCAGTTTTATACTGCCGACGTTGCGGTTTTCGCTCCGATTGCATACTGCAGCGATCCGCGGATTCCATACGATTTGTCGTCTGTATTCGCCGCGGCTGCTCCCGTATCGGCTCCGACGATTATGTTTCCCACGATTTTGTTTGTTTAAAACGAGCCCGCACGTGGGGCGGACGTCAGAAGGGGGGGGGGAATGCGGGGGCGGCAAAACGAACCGGTTAGCACAAATATCGGGCGACCGACAAATACTCGCACTATATGCGATGCGTGCGGGAACAAACGCGGCCAATATACTGCAGTTTTCGCGCCTGTAGGCGACAGCCACAAGTGGCTACCACGGTTAAGTTGTATATTCATAATATATTATTATTATTAAAACGCATGTGCACCGTGTGGAAGAGGTTGGGTTTCCGGTGGTAAACGCTTGCAGAGTGGGAGCCGCATCGCTGCGTTTAAATCGTCGCCCCAGTATATATTGTAGAACCCAAAAATAAATAAATTACGTACAATAATAAACAAATAAAACCTTTACGACCAGAAAATCGAAACATGGAGGTGGGCCGGCCGGATGACTGGTATGCCCGCGAGGCTTTATATACGTACAGGTATATACCGCGCTTGCGGTCGCGTTCCAAACGTTTTTCGGAAATCAAAATTCCCCCCTCCCCCCCCCCGGAATGATTGCCAGCGATCGGGGGTTCCCACGTGAACAAATCGTAAGAGACGTTCGGGGCAACAATATATGTTTTACAGACAACAATCGGATTCGAAAATCGACATTTCGTCATTAAAACATTGTAGAAAGGTGTAATTGATTGTGTTTATCGGATGCATCATATACAATATACAATTACACAAATATGCACTACGGAGATGTGTAAATTCCCTTCACGATTGACAAGTAAAATGTGTATAAATTCCGTAAGTTCGTCTGTCCTATATAATATATATTATACATTCTGCGTTATAAATTCCGTTCATGTAACATGTTCTTACGTAGGTACACGTACTTGTAATAAGTGTACTTGCATCTACTTAAATTATAGGTAAGTACAGAAAATCCACCGCCGCCTCTGATAAAAGACCTTTTGAAAAAAACTATTAGATGTGGAAATTCCTGTAACGGATACAACAACATGATAAATCCCAAGTTCGTTTGTTTTAATAATATGTATAATGTATGAGGATCATATTATTATATATACATTAGCATAATGCGCGAACATATGTAAATGATATTACATCGGTGGGTACCTATGTCGGCACGTGCCAATAATTATTATTCGAGCGTTTAGCACTCACGGTTGCTTTGGTATACCGGTATACGCAATGATTGAAAATATTTATTTTCAATTTGTTGCTGTAATTCCGGTTAAGCTTCGGTCGGCAAATGTTCGAGGAAAAAGATCCGGAGCATAACCCAATCATAAATGTTGTATAATTTTTTTTAATTTTTCTTTACATTTTGTGTTTTTTGGTATATTTAATAAGATCATCACTATATAGATGGTCTGTCTGATTTCATGCCTGGTTAGTGATTGTAAATATGTAATTTCCAATCACTGTGTATAGATAAGATAAATATAAGATAAATAATTATCATGTTATTTATATAACGTACGATGTAAGCAATAATTTTACAGTATTTTCCACTTAACATTTAACTACGTAGAGGTGTTTAATGTACTTTCTTCTATAGTTTTAAATTAAAATTTGATTTTGTGAAACCTTATGAAAGCTCCGTGACTATTTCATAAACTATTTCAAAAAAAAATGTCATTTTTTGACCATATGGCTTGTATACAATAGGTACAAACACGCGACACTGATATAATAATATATATATATTGGAAATATTTTTGAACTAAAGTCTCACTTAACTCTGACGCACGCTGGTAGCTTAAAATATATTTTTATGTACCTATTTCGGTCCGTTCATAATTGTAGGAAACTAGCCGTTAGCCAAATCGTTCCGTTTCCGGGGGGACCGACAGACACGGGTGGTCTTCCAGCAGCATTAAACTATATGACGTGTGTCTGACTACCGGTGTATACCTAATTCGACGTGGGCTTTCAATTAATCATAATCACAGCACCGGCGATGGCGGCGGCCAAATAATTAATTTATCAATTGTGCGCAACAATCTTCATGGTATAAAATGGTTATAATATATGATATATACCTCCTATATATAGCATTACTGCTGTTTACAGTGTTATAGACATATTTTATATAGTACGTATATATATATTATGCGCATCATGTGTGATGTAGAACTGTGGGAGGTATACTAATTGTGTCTCGTTTACAAAAAATGTTCTGTAATCATTTCACCAACGTCGTTTAACCACATTAATTATGTATGCGTTGTTGTTTGCTTTATATTACACCGTAGTTTGCTTTACCACCATCGTTACTTCAGACCTATCGTAAAGATACTGACGATGTGTGACGTGCGTGTACTTTACTGTTGTTGTGGCAAATGCCTAGTAGACACTTTACTTATAAAATTACGGTTTTAATTATTATGAATGTTCATGAATATTTAAAACATATAATATTCATCTTTCGTTAAACATATTTCAACGATTAAGAAACGTCTGTAATATATGGTAATATTATAATACCTATATATTTGTATTTCTAGCATGTCGTTATAGTTACTATATAGTTAGGTAGTAGTTAGTATTGTGTAAATGTTTTTTTATGAAATAAACGTAGGCAGCTTAACCTTAAAATGTAAAATATCCCATCTCGTTACGTACTTATGTGTAAGGTATAATTATAAATTATTATTACAGTAGGTTATGCAAATTACAGACTTACTTATTGGCTTTTATATTATAAGCTAAAATATGTGTGATAATTTTTTAATTTTATATTTCTATCTATATAAATTAAAACATTAGAATAGTAGGTATCACCTCAGATTTTCTCCGGAGTACAGAATGAAATGGATTTAAATTCGAAAAAGTATTTTATTTATAATATCAAAAACGCATGTACTCATCATGTATAGAATGAATAGTAATGTATTTTATATCATTACACTACTGCAGCATACCTGTAGAGTTTTTTTAAATTGAAAACCAATTTGTTCTCCAAGTTTTTTTTTCATCTGAATATAGAAATATTTCACGGCATTTGAAAACCATATGAACCCCCCGTGGAGGTGGAATGAAAATATTAGGTATGTTTGATCTTTGATGTGTATATCATATTATTTTTCTCAAGTGGCGGCAGCGGCGCGGCGTGATGCAGACATAAAATATTATTGGCAAACGTGCCGCCGTCTTTGCCAATCGATTATTTCATTATATAGGTAGGTACGAATAAAAAAAAATTAATAAAAAAACAACGTTCATATCGCAACAGTCGTCAAACGTACCGCCGTCGTCAATAAAATAATTATTATAATATTGTTATCTCTTATTCAGAGCGTCACTTATTCGAGCGTATTATGTAGTAATACACGAAGACGAAGACGGGCGGAGCGGGGAGTTGTCGGCGAATTCATTATAATTTATCATTTATATCATAGCTCGTTGTATTACAATTTACAACTGTCGTTGTTGTAATTAAAGCCGTCGACGATTAGTATAAAACACTATATTATTATCGTTATTGCCGTCATCACACGAGCGGTACTATCGAGTCCTGAAGTCCTATATATTAGTATTGTATTATTATAATGCGATACGGACGGTATAATATGATTGTCGTTGTATCAATATCATTATAATGATTATGATAAATAAAAAATGCTTACAACAGTCAACAACTAATAAGTCTGTGCATAAATCGTACTCGGTGTCTCGATGGTTGTGTGTTTACACGTAATTATTGTTAAATGTGCATATTAGGTACTGTTGACGCGCACGCGTACTATTAAATATCATTATTCTTGCATGCGTGCGCGTGCGCGCGTTTTATTAGGATTATACTATTATTATTATTATTATTATTATTATAATTTATAATGATGATATTGTCTTGACGATATTCATTATAGTAAGACGGTCCGTCGTATAATGCATGTACTATGGTCATTGGTCGACAACAATATTGTGCACGTACAACATAAATTATTATTATAATAACGCATATAACACGATCGCCGTTTAATCTGTATAGGTATAAATTATATTGGGACGCAGAGAGTCACGCCGCCGTCGTCTCGATGAACGTCAAAAAGCAACAGATGCAATTGCAGCTGCAACTGCAGCAACCACAACGGCGGCACGATCGCACCGGGTTCGAGGCCCTGTTAGACCAACCGGTGCCGGTGGCCGAGACGTCACCTCCCGGCGGGACGTCGCCGTGGTCGACCGGCGTCACCGACACGGTAGGTCGCTACGATCACCCGCACCACCGCCGGGGTCCGCCGGCCACCGGCGCCGGACTGTCGGGCGTACTCTCAGACCTCACCGGTTCGCCGACCGAAGCCGACGACGCCACCGCCTCGGCCACTGCCGCTCGTCCAGGACGCCCGCAGGACGAAGCGGTTACTACCCCACCGCCACCGTCACCTGCTTTGTCGCTACCCAGCCCTTACTACGACCGGAATCCAGTCATCGGTTTCCCGGTGCATCATCACCATCATCACCACCATGTCCCCAAGTCACCGCCACCGATCACCGCCACCGTACCTCTGGGCAACGTGCAAAACGTCGTACACGCCACTGGCGATCAGGACTACAACGATCTGCACTACGCGAACAGTTCAAAGGTAAGGGTTCGCACTTTAAACATATTTTTTTGTATATTATAATTGATATGCATATAGGTACCTATATCATTTTATTCATAAAAAGTAGGGATGAGGACTTAGGTTTTTTCATATTTGTCTAGTAAGGTTGCAGAACAATGTGAGTAATGTATAAATGAATGTATGTTTTATAACCCAGGGAGGTTAAAATAGTATTTCTCAATTTCCGCATAGTATTTTGTAGTTCAATTTGCATATAATTGCATATTTGAGTATGTTATTGGACAAATTAAGAGCATACATATAGGTATATATATATGTTGATGTTAAATTTAATACAACATATACAAATATTATTTTCCGAATGTCTATACTGTCAAAGTGTCAACCTATATAATATAATAATATAATTGTATTAATATTATATAATATTATAGGTTAGGTAGTTCACTATCTATCACAACGCGTGTAGGATTGTAGGAAGTAAACCTCAGTCCGTCATAATTTACCGTTTACTATTAATTGATAATTGTTCAATTTATTTTTCAAGTTTTTATCAATTAATTGAAATTACATTTTTATAAATTTGTTCACAAAAATATTATTATTTAGTTTCCATGTTTTGTATAGTATTACATTTTAGAGCATATTTTAAGTGCATATTATTTGTTTTTAAATTCATATGTGCATAGTTCTGCTTATATATTTTGAAGTTGTTGAGTACTTGATGTCCTCAGCCCTAATAGTAGGTAGGCATCTGCCCATTTTCGCCTGTAATTGTGTAATTCTTTATAAGGGATATTTTGTTTACCGTTAAATTAGTAGTGAACAATTAATATTGAAGTTCCTTTTTTTTTGTATAGGAGGGACACGCGTTTTGTAACGACTGACTACGTGTCATTTAGACTATTTTGTCGATAACGATTATGGGGTTGTTGTATGTATGGCGGCTTAAAAGGGGTTTGTGAGTCACAGCTAGAACTATTTTAAAATGATTGGTTCGTTGCACATCGCAGCGCATGTTTCGTATTTGAGGTAAGATCAAGTAGACAAGGTAGCAAACGTACGCAGTTTACTAGCTAAGAGCTTAAGACAGATGCTAAATATTACTATTCTTAACAAATCATAAATTATACCAAGTTTCTACCGTTTATCTAATTTCAAACAAATTAATATGCCTGTATATTGAACTTATTAGTTTGTAATTCAAAGTTTGATGTGACTATATCATATTTTATAACGCACATATAGTTATTTCAATGACAAAGTCATCATTATTGTAATGCCAATTATTAATCTAGTATAATATCTACTATTGTTACTAACTTTCAAGTTATTGTAACATAATATATTAATATAGTTTTTTCCACCTCATTGGCTTCATTCTCACCCTTTGTAAATGTTAAATTGGTGGGTGCGTTTGTTTTATGAGTAACAAATAAGAAGGGGGATTTTTAGAGTTATAGAAAGGGTGTGGTTGGTTTGAAAATCACCACGATTCCAAAAGTAGACTGGCAATTGGCACATGTATTCGTTGGATATCATTTCGTTGCAACTTGCAGTTTATGTTCTTATAGCCGTCTATTCAAAATTGTATGCAATTTTGCCAAGATTTTCAAGTCTTTAAATATACTACCAATAAAATACATAAAAATCGTAATTAAAGATTTTCCATTGTCTATTAAACTGTCTTTTTCAAAAATGCAATTTAGATAATATACTTTTTTCCCTAAAGTTTCTTTAATTTACTTCATGTAAACATATATGAAAAAACAACAATACCAAGTTAAAAAATTACTTTAAGATTTGCATTTGGATTGAGTTTATAAGTTTTAACTTTAATTAATTTAATTTTTGTAACTATATAAATTGTCCTTTTTTATAATTTAAAAATCGCTCGATTATTTTAATTAATTTCGTACCTACCTAACTAGTGGAAGTTAAAATATAATTTAAATATACATGTATAATCGGCCATATAGTGTGATATGTAACTGATCTATTGCACATTCGCACTGTGTACATCGAATCTGTATTATACATACCTATATTAATAGTACTGTACTACTGTACATTTCATATCTTAATATTACTTCATTAAGACAATAATACATATATCGGTTCTTACAATATGTATAAAATCAATGTACATTATTATACATTATTTCATTATTAATTATTTTGTCTTCCCCTACTACAGAAAAACAGACCTACCGCTATATTTGAATACACGAATCTGCACAGAATATTACCTATTTTTCTTTTCGCGGGCCCATGTTGTTTTCACACATCTTTGTCATCGGCCATCGGGGTATGTCATTTTCCTGGAACTATAACTATACTTTCACATCAAATTCTGATAAATATCAACTTTTATATAAGCCAATAACCTGCAAAATATAATGTATAATCGCCGAGCTTCTATAATACATTTGTCAAGCGATTTGTTGATGGATAATAATTATAAAAACAAAAAGTTTAAATTAAAACCAAAAACGTTTGTGTAACATATTTTGTACTTGTATATAGGTTATCTGTTTGAAGTATATGTTTGTACCTATTTATATATTTTATGTAAATACATAGTACTACTACCAGCGGCACAACTACAAGTCTGGAGGTTTGACAGATGGGCGGGACGACGATAAAGAGAACATCAAGCAACGGGACACTGCCGAGTGTCTGCAACAGCAGTTGGACGAAGTATTGCAGGCTTGTGTAGACTACGAAGAGCGGAACAAAAGTCGGCAGCAAGCGCAGTCGGAAAGCTCCGGAAACACGTCGCCAGGCACTGCGGCGCCGTCGACGACCACACCTCCGCATCAAAACCGGTAAATGTGCACATCAGTGCATCACACATCTCACACGCCTCACACATCTTAACACGGAGTGTAGTGGAAAGGCGTAGTAACACGTGCCGTGTGAATAGCGTGTCTCATAAGATAGTCTTCAAGTTTGCATTTCTAACGCAGCATTGCTGCATGCCTGAATATGATATAGGCGAGCAGACTTCATTGGCAGGTGTAAAAAACAAAAAACAAATGTCAAAAATTTTTTTTTCAATTTTGATTTGACCATAACATTTTTATTTCTAAGTATTTCCGAGGACAATAGTTTTTGAAAGCGGAGTTTAAAATTTATAAACATTGAGTTTTTTTCAGAATGTTAGGTCTTTGAGGGATACAAATGAAATGAGCCATTTATCCAATCGTGATATTCTACTCACACGGCTATGTGCTAAGGCACATTGCACATATAAGCTTATTAGCTTAAGTGAATTCGGAGTTGATCCTTATAGGATTTATCATTATGGATAATATGCATTATTTAATACTATTGACAAAATCAAATTAACTCTAACGCACTAACGATCGCATTTAAATGTTATTTAAAAAATATTATTATTTGAAATGTTGTAGCTTAATATAGTTATGTCGTGTGTACTGCATCAGTCTATAAAACTATACTATGCCTATTGCCTATATAGAATCTAATGAACACGCGTTGGCCTTTCTGTGCGAATCGATATTTTTTATAGATACATCATTAACATTTTACAAAAATATTTTAAATTCTTCGATCCAATATCCAATTATATGTTCATTTATCGAAACAATGGAAAATTCCCTTTTGCTGATATATTGATAAGCCTGCCCAATGGTCAGATGATATCTCGTCTTTTCTAATTTCTAAGACCAAGTGTTATCTATATGTATATCACAATACCAGGGGTCAGCAACCCATGGCCTGAAAAGTAATTTTGTGTACCCCGCGTAATATATTTATAATTTATACACAAATAAACATATTACATAGTCCATAACTACTATAGACTACTTAATGTTATCTTTATTCTTTGTTGATGTTATGCCAGTATGTCTTAAATCATTTCCTTTGAGCACACAATTGTACAGTGTACCAGTGTGCCTAGGATATACATTCTAGATGTCTACTGCAGTGCAGAGTGAAGTGCACGCGTTTATTTTAAACTACAGTTTGTCGCATGTTTGTTATACAAAAGTAAATTATAAACAACTACCTCCAAACTATCCATAAAAATAAGATTATACTTTTATTTTATTTTTTATGATCTTTGATAAAAATTGTATACGTTTTTTGCCACTTGATATAGAAAAGAAGGTTACCAAATTCTGCGCTTTACGATAATTTACCTATCATTATAATATGTGCAGGCATACTAAACTGCTAGCTGCTACCCACCTAACCTTTGTCAATTATACATAGGTACCTACTATATTTTTTATTTTTTTGTCCGATTTTAGGATCAAAACAAACGGTTCTCTTCCACGGGATAGCAAGAAATCTTCCACAGAAACGTCTTCGCCCACGTCGCCGTTATCGCCGATGACATCGCCACTATCGCCAATGACATCGCCACTGTCCCCATCATCGACCTGGCCGTCCGTGGCTACCCCATCTCCTCCTACGCTGTCGCCGCTGTCATTGCGTGCAGCCGGCGGAGACAGTGACTCAGTATTTTTGGAAAACGACAATCTTCCAGCGTCGCCTGTAACTTGCGGAAGTCCCAGGACTAGAATAAGAACGCTTGTCCCGACGTCTTGTGCGACGACTACCGAAAATTTATTTCACAACAGGTACATTTTTTTTATCGGATTCATTGACAGAAGTACTTACTTATATTAGTATGGGTGCAAACCCAAGGGCAGATCCAGAGAGGGCATTGGGGGCAAGTGCCCCTCCAGATCACAAAAAAAAAAATTTTCATTTATCATTAAAAATTAGCATCTTAAAAATATTTTTAATTTAAGTGCCTCCACTGTACAGAAATCCTGTATCCACCCTTGTATAAACCCTCGTTTATGACCAAACGCAAATCTTATATTCAGAACTTTTCATTACCACATAAACATTAATCAAATACCGCACATAAAAATGGCATGATACCGCACAAATTAATTAAATTTCGGAGTTAGTGTAGAAATAATTTTTTTTTACTTACACAAATAAATAAATAATTTGTATTAAATATTTTTTACAAATCGTAATTAAATAAAAAGAATTAAATGTTTATTTCTTTACTTATACCAATAAGCTTTTCATGTAGATAAAGTCTTATATTATTTTATATTGTGTAGATTTGAGGATAAGTCGATCATAACTAAGGGCAAATTACCGATGACTAAACCTGACTAATTATTTATAAATAATTATAAATTATAATTAAAGTATAATAAAAACAATATTATAATATTATTTATACCACAATTTGATAAGCATTGTATTCAGACTATGTGGTATAATAGGCCCAAAGCTAATATCAAAAACCACGTGCAGTTTTGTCTCAAATATTTTTGTTTTATTTCTATGGTGTGCATCCCTTATAAGTTTTTTCGTATACATACAAACAAAATTTCAAAATTGTATTTGATTAATTGTTTACACGACCGTGACCTATAATATAGGTAGATAAGTCGTTAGAGTGTAGAAAATAATTATTATCAGTATTTAATTATTTGGTACTTACACGCCGCTTAAGTGCAGATTCGAGAGGCTTAACGTAATGAATAGGTACATCAAAACTGTAGTCTGTAAATAATGTTATGATAACCAAAATCGAAACTTCTATGTTGAAATGTTATTACAACGTTATTGTTATAATGAATATATTTTAATAGATGTATTTAGTACTATTTAGTATTTACCATAATATTTAGTATTTACGATCGTATATTATATATTCTTTACTTTTTTGAAATAAGCCTCCCAGGATTTTTTTGCATATGTTGTAATCGACTTAAGGATTATAGTGGGTGGGGGGGGGGATAATAAGCTTTTTTTATGACTTATGCCTGGTGGTGCCCTTTAATATATTATACTGCAAATTAACACTGTATTGTTCACACCCGTATTAAATAATACGCACTATGAACTCTCCTTGTGTAAAAAAAAACTGTTTTATAATTAGACATTAATAGACCCGTCAATTAGTTATCACAAGTGATAAAACACATTTTCAAAGTTCATAATTAGAACAATTCTTAACGTTTAAATTACACCCATTCAAATGACAAAATGTAATTGATTGTTTCTTTGATAATTACATTAAATTTATAACATCTGTTGAACAGATAAAGAATAGTATTTAATAATATGTGAATGATGTTAAATTTGCATAATCCGTTTTGCTAAAATGTAATTATTTATTGATTTCATTCAATAATTTACTTTTCTGAATGCAATTAAATAATTGCAATATATTACGGCTTATATAAGTTAATGAGCTTTATCTTATTATGTTATATATATACCAAGTAATATTAACGGTGTCGGGACTATTAAGTATTATTGGTACTGAATAATTACGTAAGTTCCCGGTCAAGTAAATAATAATTTGTTTATCAAATAAAATATAAATAGTTTTGTACATTAAAACATAGTAGGCACCTACATTATAAAAAATAAATATTATCTTTAACAAAACATTTCTTTTTTAAATTCTATTTTTATCATATATACCTAGATAAATTTTATAATTAACAAACATAAAATAATTGTTTCATATTTCATTCAGTTTTGACTTTTGAATTGGTGTCACAACTTTATTTCGTTTTTGTTATAGCTACCTAAATGATTCGTTATTATTTAAATTTTTTTTTACACATCATATTATAATGTTTTTAGTGTGATATCATTTCTTTTTATTGTCTAAAACATGAAATACACAATACACTCGGCGGCACAGTGTCATGCGGGTATTTCTTGTCTAATCGGCATGTTTTATTATATTTATTTAATATTTATATGAACGTTGGACAAATAATAATGAGCGCACGGTTCACCTTACATGGAACGCCTGTTGCATAAGTAACAACAAATGCACGAAAACTATTATAATAATATAGGTATCGGTGTATAACTGCAGGAACAACTGTAATAATATTGTAAAAAACGATGTATTATATTAGAGCGACGCCCAACAATGGCATCTGCAATGAGTAATGACAAAAATATATCGTTGTAAGCAAGAAACTTTATTATACATAGTTGAACTAAATAGAAGGACATATAATGTTTACCACACATAATATTGGCTTCTATAAATTAAAATTATCATACTAGTATTCGAAACATCAGCCAATATTTGGCCATGATTTTGACAAAAGTTTCATCTCTAAAATATTATATCATGTAAACCCGATATGTACTCACTGCCTCATACTATAAATTATAGTATATAGTATTATGTACAATAAATTGTATCTAGTGTATATGATAAATGATCTCTATACTTAGATACTTGGATAATGTCGGCGCACCGACCGCGCATGTAATGCACAACGAATTGAACGTCCCACGTTTGTGTTTGCTCCTATAAAATAATTTATACATTTTTTAATATGTACATACTCGTGATGCCGTCAGAGCTATACCGAGAAAAGATTATTTCAAAATTAGAATCGATAGACAACGTGCGCGAACGAAATACACGTGATTTAAAATGAAATCGATCACCATCGGTTAGCGTTTGCCCACCGGAAGTGTTATCCAGAGGTGTTATCTTTACATTGAACATATGGCTTGTTTTTCTTCGGTGCTCGTATAAATAATTAATGCTCTAACATGTAAAACATACATCGAGGCACGTGCAGTGCGCTCTCTCCTTTTTTACATTTACATTTCATAGTTATTTCTTATTTTTATGTTTACTTAGCTTCTGTGTATTATGATAATGTGAGTATAACGATCCATCTGTTTTTGAATATTATGATTTATACAGTGGCAAGGACCATCAACTAGGACAGAGTCAACTGAACGGTCACGGTGGCCCCGACGCCGATTCAAAAACGTCACCGACCGCTGCAGATAACCTCTCGTCGAAATCGCCGGACAGGCCGGTGCAACAAATGCAGCTGCAGTCATTGCAGTCGCCATTCCTCCAATCACCGCCGCCTCCTTCGTGGCAGACGACGAAGATGTGGCTGCGTTCGTCTCCGTTTGCAGTGGATTCCAAAGATGGTGGCACGACGACTACGCCGACGGTTTCGTTCGCTGTTGCCGACAAGGTGGCCGAGGCGGCCGAGCAACGTCGGAAGCTACTAGTCGAATTGTCCGCGCACAAGTCCCGGCTGGTGGAGTTGCACTTGCGCCGCGAAGAAGTCGACCGGGAGGTGAGTGCGTCGTGTCAAAAAATAGATACTTCGGGTTTTGAATTTAAAACAATTTCATAATATTGTAATTTTGTTAATTAACTGTTCAAATTTCAATTGAACGTCTTCGTATATGGATATGCTCAAGCGGGATCGCAAGCGGAACGTTTTCGTGTGGAGTCCGATATAGACAGTGTAGGCGACTGTGTAATAAGTAAATTTATCGTTGATGTGTGTGTTTGTGTGTGTATATTCTTTCCGCATGAATATGTTTCCAACTATATGCCTAAAAGTATTTTATTGCTCTAATGCTACACATGAATAAACCAAAGCCCAGAACAAAAGAATTTATGAAATTCTGGAAGTATAATACTAATCCTCAGTTTTTTTTTACTATTCACGTAAATAGGCGATTGTTAAAACTGATTAGATAAAATTAACGTATTATCATTAAGTGTCTATCTAGATAATAGATATATACCGGGGAAATAGTTTTTAAAATGCACAAAAAAAAAATGTAACCTATTTTCATGATTAAATTTTATTTTGAATGTATCTTAAATAAGAATACAACGATCACAATAATTATGGTTTGGCCATTTTTCATACCTCATTAAACTTATTCTAACAAACACATAAAAAATGTATCGCTTCCAACAGCCATAAAAATAATGCATAAAGGTAAAGATAATACGTATATATACTTTTAAATTAAATAATATAATATATAATATAATCAAGACGTTTCGATTTAGTCACTTATACCTACCTAGTTTTGTGTTCGTACTATTTCTGATTAATCATCTAGTCAGCGTCGATGACGTAATTTTATATTTTGTTTAAAAACATGATTTCTTTCACATAGATAGGTATACCTATACTCTCAGAAATACGGTGGCCATGGGTTTTATTCACATCTTAATTAGAATTTATAATACAACTTTTAAATTATTCATCATTTTTTAAATTTTAGTACACAGTATGAAATAAATTATTTAAAAAAAATCTTGAACTTCAGTTTGTCATACACAAGGACTATAATATTTTAGTACTACCTACAAGTTTATTTCGGTAAAAAACACCATGAACCATTTAAATCGTAAATTGTAAACCATTTCAATAATCAATTTGGCAATGTATATGAAGTATGGATACGTAATTTTTAGTAGAATTTCGTAGAATTTCGTTATTTGTGTGTTTTTATTATAACAATTAATAAATATTTTTATCTACACGTAACCTTCACTATAGCTCTTGAGCTTATACTACTATAAATCAATGATAACAGTTCATATGTATATGTCCACAAGTGCAACAATCAAATTCCCCTATAAAAATTAAACATTATTAATTAATTATACCAATTACGAAAATAAATATATTTTTTAAACATAAACATTAAACATAGCATTTCATCCAAAATCTTTTAAACATAAACTTTGAAATCATCATTTGATATTAAAACAATTATTTATTATTGATTAATTGTGACTGTGTAGTAGGTATAGTTATGTATACATTTATAAACATGAGTGTATACTCTACTTAAATAAAGTTTGACCCACAGTGCTCACAAAAAAAGTGTAAAAACTAACTTAATTGACTTGATTACACAATTTTTAGTTCCATAATTTATCGGTTTTTATTTATAACTTATGAGAGCAAATACCTCGTTAATAGTTAGATTAAGAAAAAAATGCGAGTATAATTATTTTTACATTATTAAATTTACAGTCTTAAACAACTTTTTCACAAGCTCACCGTATTAATAAGATAATATTTTCTACGGTGTGTTTACAGTTAATCATCGAGACCGCTCTGCTGCGAGCTGAACTTGATGTTGCCGACGATGAAACCCGTCAGTCGGACAACATAGTAGACGGTTTGGACCGTGCCGTAGCTGATTGCAGGCAAAAAATGGACGCGTGTACAGTGAAACAGCAGGACCAGAGGATGGCAGCTGATTCGCAGTTGGCAGGACACCGGCGAACACTCCAAGGGTAATTTATTGTTATTATACTACTTAAGGCCGAGCACGTACACGAATTTACCCCCACAGTCACCACCAGAATACTATAGCAAAGGGGATGACCATCATAATAATGTATAATGATAATACATATTCAAATAACGAAAAGTTTATAAAAGTGTGATGGTACCCTAGGCAATAGCCGACAACTACTACAGATAACCACTGCCCGTGTTTGTGAGGGAGGTGGCTTAAACAAGTATAATAGGACGAGGAACAATAAATATCGCATCAGAGGTAAACGCATGATAAATTCTAGATTGTTGAAATGTTGAATGCACTATTTCTGAATTTCAATAGGGGATAATAGGGATCAAAATAACGTAATTATATAACAAATATAAAGACAACTTTTTTGAAAATTTCCAAACAAAATTACAGTCTCATCACCCAAAAACATTATTTTCAAATCTTTCGATGATAATTACTAACGTTTAACCGACAACAATTCAAAGTAGCGGTGCCATAATATTTTTGAAAAATTAAACTAAATAATAAATAACTTTGTTATTACTTATTAGGGTCATCCTTTCTATTATTTTTTTCTGTTAATTTTCATTATAAGAATCATTTTTGTTTTTGTGTCTAAGAGTTTATCTAATTAGCTTGGTGTACTTTGGTATATATTGTAAATATACAGTTTAAAAAAATTTAGATTAGATAGTGTGTACAGATAAGGATGACGAATTAATTATATTTCTTAAAAAAAATTATGATATCAATTCAATTTAGTAATTGAGTAAGTAATTACATGTACGATGATAAAATCAGCTTCATTTTCAATACTAAGTGTTATTCTGATAAGAATTATATGTTTTATCAACTAAGCGCGTAGCTAGGAGTGTGTTCTCAAAACACTTCCCAACCGCGGCCTTATAATCTAAAAATATATTAAATGTGTGAACAGACCCCCTCGAAGTTGTTTTTAAATATTAAATTAAAACACCCCCTTCACAAAATCCTAGCTACTCGCTTGTTATCGACGTTTTTCATCTAAACCACATTTAAATAATATTTTACATCTGTTTAGAACTTCAAAAATACCAAAATTAAAATTAAATTTAAAAATTAAAAATATGTTGTGGGAAAAGATAACAGGAGTGTACTACTTATACTATTTAGTAATAACAAAAATGTTTTTAATTAAAAATAATTATTATTATTAATTCACTGTGAGTCATTCGTTATACATAATCTGTTTGGTTTAATCACTAATCATAGATTAAATATTCTTAATTTACTATAATTAAGTATTTGATGTACATATTATTTGTACTACATTTTATAGATTTATGTGGGTAAGATGACGAGTTCGGAATATTTTGGGGAAATGTATAAGTATTAAAATATTAAATATTGGGTTTAAATAGTACAAGCAGTTTTTGTTAAAAATAAAGATTGAACTTTAACAAGTTAAAAAATAAATAGTTTATTTCCCAGTTTTGGTATTTTGTATAGCCGTGATTATAATGAAATCTAATATTATGTTCTTTATAATCGTGATTGTAATTAATTATTTTGAAAACATTTTTTATTTTTGTATCCATCCCTCGAGCCACTCCCTTAGAATAGTTGTGCCACGATTACTATCTCGTATGGATCTAATATTGTCGTTTACACCACTACCTGTATAGTGTATATGCCACCCACCCGGCACCATATTTATAAAATCTAATTACAGTATCTTCGTAGTATACGCCCACAGTTTATTACAATGTACATGTTGTTTACAAATAATAATCTACTTTTATATAATATAATATACCAATAAATAATAACCGTCATAGGTTACGGAAGCGGTTAGAATCGATCGAAGACAACGACGAGCTGAAAACTGAAATACGTGATTCCATTGACAAGCAGACGGAACTGTTAGATGCCGAACAAAAGGTGAGATATATATAATAATATTAACGACATTACAAAATAATATTGTAATACTATGACATACTGCGTCATTATATTGTAACGAATCATGAAAACAACGTCGCGGTCGATGACTAACACGATTGATTTTTTTGCCGGAGATAATAGTATACATCATATATGTATATTTACGTAATGCTGGTGTGTGTCCTGCAGTTGTACGAAGATGTAGAATTCGGATTGCTTGAAGAGGAAGCTGGATGGCTGGCTCGCAGAGAAGAGTTGCACAGGGACCGGGCCGCGGCCGTGGCGGTCAGGCGGGCTCGACGGGCTCGCGCCGAGTGGTTGCGCGCGCAGCTCGATCAGCTCCGAAGCGTAGGCGACGACCAACTACGAGCACTGCGGACTGACATAAATACAGCTACATTGTCCATCCAACAGGTATATTAAGCACACGTAAATGTTGCTCGGATATAAGTTACCGATTATAAATCGTAGACGAAACGTATACCTAATCATAATTTAAGCTTTTCAAAATTGACATTATCCGAAAATGAACTAATTTAGACACGTTTTTACGATTTTAATGTTAAATAATAAAAGTACAGCAGCCATTAGAATATAAATATAATATAATATAAGCATCATTGTCGATGACTGTATAACTGTATTTTAAGTGGTTTTATAGTGGTATGGTTGTCTTCGATTTAAATTTAAAATCTTGTAATTTGTACGTCCCGAAGTTGTCTTCTGAGTGTACGATTTTTTGTTCAAATACCTAAAACCGGATGTTTTCGAAACTATTTGAGGGGGCGTTTTGTATTTATCTATTTAATCGAGTCGTATTATAATTTTATGAATGAAAATCACTATTCTAATTTTGCGTTAGACTCTTTAAGTCATATTACTAATACCGACGACAAAATCTATTTATAAAAACTATAAACGTAAAAAATGTCGACATTTTATAATATTTATAAAGAAACAATAATTATATGTATTATGTTACACAATATACCACTGTTAATAAATTATGATTTCATTTTTACATTATCGTTGTTCACAATGGAATGCTAGGACTACCCACACTCCGGGTTGACTAAATAGATCGATAAGATTTTATGCGGACAAATTGAAAAATAACCAAAATCGTTAAGGCAAAGTTTAGGATATCATTTTGGCGAATATAAAATGTTCATTTGAGCATATAAGTATATGACCTACTTTTTTCGGGTAAATAAATATTTTAACTATCTAGAACCCTCTGTTATTGACAGGCTTAGTTAAAACTTAAAAACCGCTGAATTACTTTTTGTATGAAGTATAAGAATAAAATACTTTTTTGGTAATATTATTATAATAATATTTAAAAAAATCTTCCATCAATTTTAAACCGGACAAATGATATGCTTCAAAATTTGACAAAAAAAAATGAGATTTCTTACTTACAATAATTGTGATTTTAGGGTCATAAGAAACTGCAAGATCTGGACGCCACCGCAGCTAGCGTGACGACAGCAACAAACACCATACCAGACCAGCACCGACGTCCCCATCAGTTTCAATACGAAATGCACTCGGGGCAACCGGCAGCGGAACATCAACCACCCAAGTCTTTGGAATGGTCGTGGGACCAACAACTAAAATCTCCTATGTCATCAAGATCACCGTCGTCGTTGTCGTGGGATCTACAGCCATCGAGGTCACCGTGGTTTTCGACAGCCGCTCCCGTGACGGAAGACACGACGGGCAATAACATGAATAGCTTGATGACTGGTAGCATAACGACGACGTGCTGTAGCAGTATAGGCAGCAGTGGTGGCGAGGTAATAATTGTTTTCTTTACATACCGGTAACTTCTGGTTACTTCCGGTTAAATAGTTATCTGTAAATTGGATCTTACCCCTTAAGGTATATAAGCCCGATCAAAGGGAAACACTATATATTGGCACTGAAACACCTTCTCGTCGTATTGAAATATAACTTTTTGTATTATGTATGCTTTTATGGTGCTATTAAATCCCATGCAATGATGCAATGCTTCGGGTGACTATACATTAAAATGAATATTAGATTAATGTTTCCGCGTTGTCTGTTACTGCAGGATGATGGTTGTACCAGACCGATATCGGATGACTCTATTTCACGAATGTCGATGTCGACTATCTTCGATGGAGGGGCCACGATCAAACTCCGACCAAAAAACAAAACGTCTCCGTCGGACATCACAAAAGTTAGTATCACCTGCACTCGTAGTGACCACTAGACATACCTACCTATATAAACCATACATAAAATATTGCCTACCTATAAAGTATATATTAATTTTGATAAGCAATTCGCTTGTTGACGGATGCAACTAAATGTTTTGCTTACGCTTGGTGACCTATAATGATGAAAATACTATGCGTTTTTTGTGTTATCCCTGCAGAGGCCGTTGACTAGATATCTGCCGATACGGTACGACGGCGACGGCTCGACCGAGAACCGAATGGCGTTCGACTTGCGCGCGCACATCGAGTCGGCGGGACACCAGCTGGACGACGACAACGGCGGCGTCGACCGGCACTTCTGGATCGACAGCTCGTCGTGTCGAGGCTACTTGAAAAAGCTGTCCGGTGCAGGCGGCAAGAACGCTCGCCGAGGAGGACGCAAATGGCTGAAGAGATGGTTCGTGTTCGACCGGCGGTCGAGGACCCTGTCCTATTATCGCCGCCGGTCCGACGATGGCGTCGACGCCGCCGCCAACCAGAGAGCAGGCGCTGCCGCGACCGAGAAGAAAACTCCACCGAGGGCGTCGATCCGTTTTCAGGTGTGTGTGTATGTGTGTGTGTTAGGAAAATGTTCTGAAAACTTTTCTGAAAATCCCCCCAAAATCGTTTTATTCTGATTTCACATATGGGCCTATATATTATAAGTTTTATTGCCAAAATTGTCTTTTCAATTTAAATTATTGGAGTATAAAATAATAATAAAATAAAAACTATTACGCTGGCTAACGATCAGTACTCACAGTTTAGGTTATTTTGTTATTGTTCCTGTAATTTCAACAGTGCGAATGTTTTATTTTTAAAGCCAAATATTAATACTAGTATTTTTGTAGAATATAAATTGCATGCGATGTCATCATATAAAAACTATTGAATATAAATTCAAACATTGTCAACATTTTTCTGATGATGTTATAATTAAAATTAGGTACCTACTTTTTTCAAGCATTTTCACCAAAAAGTATGTTTTCATTTTATGCAGTGCTACTCTCAGTGTTACTCGGATTCGCACAAGCGAGCCAAGTTTTGGGAAAATATGCGCGAACAATTTCCAACCTCATTGTGTATTATTCACATTACCAAATATTTATAGTGTTTTATTGATATAATTTTTTTCTGTGTGTTAATATAAACAGGACATTCAGGAAGTGTACGTCGACCACACGAACAGCACCAAGGGACAGGGGTGCGCGTTTGTGGTAAAGACCGCCCAGCGGACGTTTTACCTATCGGCAGCGACTGGCCAAGCTGTCCGAGTGTGGGTGGATGTCATATTCACCGGCGCCGAAGGGTACCGGGAGTACCTGAAAACTTCGACCACCGACGGCGGGAATGGATGCGGCGACGATCGTCGATGAGTTCAGCGAACAAAATCCTAACTTGCCCCGTGTCTGTGGACTAATTATATTTATTTTTATTTTTCTACGAGGCCGTCTAATACCGCCGTGTATAATTTTTTTTTCACCAAATATAGTTTTATCCATTGTACCTACCATTACTTTATACTTACATTTCAACGATTAACGCGACTGTAAAATGCGGTTGATAGTATATATTAAAAAAAAAAAACAAATGTTATTGACTTTGAAGCAGCAGAGCTGTAGAGTTGCGAACAATTTAATCTATAGACTGGATATAATAAATGTCATATACACCTACATATGTATGTATATATATGTATATGGATTAAAACTATTTATTTAAACATTGTCCATTGAGTTCCTCTTTGATTTTTTTTGCAGCTAATTGATATGTAAAATCTTGATTTGACAATTCATAAAATTTAAATAATTTTATCGTAACTTAAAAGTTAAAACAAATAAGTATATATATAATAAAATTTAAAAAATATTAAACACCCGGGTATGATCTAATAACAATCAAAATACTCAGCAGTTTCCAAAAATAACTCTCGTTTGAAAAAAAAAATACTGCCAATGTATATTCTGAGACGTTGCTCAAGCTTTTACCAGGATGGCCCGCTGATCTGATTTTTAAATTTAAAATGTTCCCTTCAGCACCACTCTATACTTGTTAACTCAATCTCACCTTCATAACTACACATTTTTTGTTCTTCGATCCAATTCTTTCTCGTTTCGCTTCCAAATCCAAGCAAGAAATATCCCGAAAGGTACCTAGTGATATATCATCATACAATTCTATAACATTTACGCAGCCGACATTCTCAACTCCTCGCGTAGTTTCATTGTACTAGCGCGGCGTGCCTATATACTCGTATAATAAAATAAAATACTAAACATTTTTAACTTACCATAAAAAGAAGTTTATCTCAAATTTACTTATTGATTAAAAAATACAATTACAAATTTGTAAATATTACCTTATTTTTTATTTAACAAAAAGAGAAAGAATAAAAACATAATTTTTTCCTAAAATTACTATTTTAAAAATGATAAGAAATGTAGGTAATACAAAACAATCTAGATCAATCTCCTTACAATTGTAAATCTTTTTGGATTTTATTACAATAATTTGAATAGTATAGTCGGCACAGACTATAGAGTATAGATTATAGAATGCACGCGGTATACCACTAATTTATTGCTATTCACTAGAAACTATATAGATATTGCGATTATCGGTGTTCTGAGTAATAATCATTTTACCACTGCCTACTGCAGTACTGCACACTTTGAGTTTGCGTGATTTTGCAATATGTGAGTGTGGGCACATTTATATACAACTGTCAACATTTATATTTAACAGTCAATATAACCATGTTAATAATTAATAACTGTAAATGTTTGACTTTTTTATGATCGTATATGAATAATATAAATATATAATATACAATCGTTAATGATTGCTATTATCTATAACGCGTATTATAATATAACACGGACAAATGTTTGAAAAATGTGTGATTTATTAAGAATTAATATTTAAGAAAATATCATAATAAAAATGTGTGCCTCTGTGTCATAAATAACTTTTCACATAACACTCGTTCCAAAATTGTCCAATTCTTTTCCTCTTCCCGATTATAATTTTAATGTTACAACTATCCATCGAGTTCCTACGGCTTATGTTAAGTAAATAAATGTAGTTTGCTGAAACTGATAAAAACGTTACACCAAAACAAAACGATGTAACGACAAATAAGTAACAATGGCTAACGAATGATATAGTTGGGTCTAAGTTACTCTTGGTTAACAACCTAAGAGGTAAAAAACTTAATTCGATATTAAAAGGGGTAGTATTCTACATATATTTATTATATATGTTTTAGAATATAAAATGTGTTGATAACGATTATTAATATCAAATCAACGTAACATAACGCACGAGTATTTAATAAAATGCTAATGTGCAGTGTTGATTGCAGACTGACCACTGACAGGAAAATCAACAACATTGCATTCGTTTGACAGTGCTGAAACGGATTATTCAAAAATAGGGACAGTGTTCAATCGGATTCCACTGAAGAAGCCAACGACACCGATTGATTATTTTAACATTTTGACATGTTGCAGTACATACGTGTTTCTTACTATGATACAACAGTAGGTCTATATACCTACTAGTATATCATGTACAGACGTAGGTTTGTACACTTAATCTGAGTTGGGTGTATGTACTTTCAATCGGTATAACAATACTATTGTCTCTTACAATGGTATAAATATGGTTAAGACTGGAGGGAGGGGAACTAGAAACATCAATTTTCCCAATGGCCCTATTAACATAATTTATTATACTGATGAAGTTAAGTTGGAGAATATTAGGCGATTTGCTCCTCCCCAAATTAAATCTATGGTATCTTTGACGTTGCAGTAATTATTTTAGATAACCAGCTAAGTTTGTCAAATCATAAACTACTTAAATTCCAGTGTCCAATTATATATTTATCATTGACTCCTGTGTAGATTGTAGACTGTATAACGTTTACACAAACAAAAATTCAATATACTGCACACATGTAGATTGATATCTTCTATATCTGTTTGATTATGTATTCGTTTCTATATTAACTAGAGTGTTTATACGCAGTGTGAGAAAAAAAAATTATAATTTCCAAACATCAATTGCTCACAAATATAGCTGACAAACATATTATTTTGATATTTAAATTGTATAGATATACGTACATCTAGTTAATAGTTTTTAACCTTTTTAGCATGAATAGTAAGTTAAGACGTACATTATATAACAACTGTACATCGTTTTAAAAAAAATTAAAAAACAACATTATGCACACGGTAGATGTTGTTAAAAAAATCGACGGGGATGATTCATACAGACGTCGATTGACCCGGCAAGTGTCTATGCACACTCTAAATGGCTTTAACGAACTCCGGCTGAACGTCAAGCTCTGCGATGCGTCATTGATACTCGATAACGGAGACACATTCCCAATACATAGATCGGTGTTGAGTGGTTCAAGCGATTACTTTAGGTCAGTACCCACGACCCACTCGATGCATTTCTCTATGAGCCATACTAGATATAATATTCTTTAATTACAAAACAAGGCAGCTCGAATAAAACATTGTACCTATACCTAGTTGAATAGTACATATATGTTTGGTGACGCTTTATTATTATATTATATAGGTAATTTGGTTTAAAACAATAAGTCAATATTATAGATGTGTTAACTGAATAAGTCCATAATAATATTTCTATCACATTTAAATTAAAAACGGAAGCTTTTTTATCACTTTAAATGCACTTCACCTTTATAATGCATTATTACCTATTATTTTTCTAGGTCACTAACTCTAATTTACACACATTTAATACCAATCCAAAGGAAAATAGGTAATTATTAGTGTTTAAAACAATATACACAGTTAGTATAGTAGGAAATTATCGGAATAACTATATGGGTACCTACCGTTTGATTACAATAACTGCAAATATAGTGTTTTTTTATATTTTAATATACCAACCATATTCCATAATATTAAATTAATTTTAACTTAATACTTAATAGTATAGTGTTATACAGACAATTCAAAATTCGTGTATTATTGTTGTTTTATTGAAACTCTTATGCTGATTTAAATTGATTATATGTATATTATAATATATTTTATTGATTATAAATAGTCAACACTTAATAATAAATTATAGTATTAAGTGATGATATGAAATTCAAAACATATCTATAAGTCAAGTGTATTATATAATTAGTATGTTGGTGGTTATTTAAAAAAGTGTTATCTCCATATTGAAATAGTTCAGTTTTGAAGGGTTGACCAAATTTGGCTACCAAGTCTACTTAGTCTCTGTAACTTATACGAGTTTTTTATTAATCACCTGTTAACCAACATTATTGAGTAATTCTTAGATATAGTATAGGTGCCTAGTAGACATTGCCTACTCACTGCTGCTAATATTATTTTTGTTTTTTAAACATAAATTGCCTCCAATTGTACTTAACTATAAATTATTTTAACTATATTTTTTTTTACAACTAAAATACTTTCATTGTTGTTTTATGTGTAACATTTGGGTATAGTAGAATAATAAAATGAATACAATATAAGGACAACTATTATTTAATAGTGCAATTGCTTATTTTAAGGCAATAACTACCTCGAAATATTAATATTTTAAAGTTTAAACGTGTATTGTATTCTGTTTTTAGAATACTCTTTACTACTACATTACACGAAGGAGACTACACAAAAATAAACCTAAAATCGATTGAAAGTACTACGATGGAATTTATTTTGCAGTACATTTATATGAGACAAATTGATATAAACTATGAAAACGTTATGGATATTATGCGGACAGCTGATTATTTGTGCATAGACGGTTTGGTGCAACTCTGTCATGAATTTATCGTCGAATGTTTGGGACCTGACAATTGTGTTTCTGTGCTACAATTTGCCGAGTATGTGTAAATCTAATAAAAAAAATATATCCCCATAATCCCTCGGAATCCCGTTACTATTTAGATTAATATCAACAGCATTCTCTTTAATAATAATCTGGCAGCTACTATTACTTTGGAGCATTGACAAATGCGGCGTACAAATACATAATCAAAGAATTTATGACCATTGCGGAACACGGCGACGAGTTAATGAAACTCCGAAAGGAAGAATTCAAACTAATAATCGAAGATAATCAGCTGAATGTGAAACGGGAAGAGTGTGTTTGGGACGTGTTACTGAAATGGGTGGACAAGGATCCCGAAAATAGGAAAAACGATTTGTTGTTTCTGCTGCCCAAAGTCCGTTTTGGCCTCATGGACTCTAAATATTTCATCGAGAACGTAAGTATAACATGACGTGTTACTGTTTACATAGTGATCGCCCGGTTGATTCGGAAATAATATTGACTGTTTTACCACAGCTTGTTTCCGCCAAAAAAGTTTGGTAACCATTAATTTTCAAGCAATGTACAGAGTGTGCTTTTTTGTTAGAAGTAACTTCTAGGTTAGGCCCTAACTAATTTTTTTCCAAGTATGCAGCTACTTATGAGATAATTAATTGTATTTGTCATGTTAGGTTATTTTTTTTCTTAATAGATATAAAAGATAAAACACCCTAGAATTTACAATACCAATATTTTGTTTTATACATTTTTTATAAAAAAAACAAAAAAATATTCATTTAAATTAATATTTTTATATATTTTAAAGTGACCTATATGTATTCTCAATAGATAACTACTAAATTGTAGTGTCACATTGTGTAGCACTATCTCTTGACTCTGTAATAGTTATTAATATAAGTACGTGAAACTAATAAAAAATGGTAGTTATATTTAATGTATTCTGTTTATTAATAATCAATGGGTTCTATGTATTAAGTAATTATTGAGAAAAGAAAAATGTAACTAATTTTCCCAGTATCCAAACACGTACCTAATCCCATTCACGTTTGTGTACTCATTATAAATTAATAATATTATTACCTATTATGTTCTTCTAATGATAAAAAATAACTTTATTATTATTAAATATTAAAATAGTAACTGATTTTTAACTAATCAAAATTACTGTTTTCTCATTAACTCGTAGCTTTTAAAACATGCAGAACTGGTGCTTTATTAATTATTTTTTTTACTTGATCTTTCCTTACTAATACACAAAATATGCAGTTTTTTTATTTAAATTTAAAAGCTTAAAAATTGAGTTTAAATATGAACACTTTTATAATGATAAGAAATTAATTGTATTTGAATATCAAATGGTAGGTTACAGGTATAGGTAATATAGGTACAGGTTACGTGTACTATAGAAAGCGAAACTAAAGACAATATTCGAATAATAAACTCAATGTAAATTTTTGTAAGTCAGCTAGTTCTTGAACCATGTCCAATCAACTTTTTTTCCCAACTAGAATTTCGACTTTAGATGCCCATGACTCCACCGATATTTTTTATTACAAATTCAATTTTACTATTTAAATTTTTAAATTTAACTATTACTTCATTTAATTATTATAACAATAATTTTCCCTCTCAATTTAAGGCTAAAGTATTTCTTAAATGTTTGATTTTTTGGTTATTGTCGTGTAGAAGTCGGTGATATAAGGCTCTTGCTTTGATGGAGCTCACAATTAAACTGCTGTCGTCAAAGCCTCTTTTAGAACCGTTGGTAGAATTTTTGATGCCAATGCGTGCCGATGAAGAAAGCAATGACTGATGACTATGTCTGGAATTTCTTTCCTTATCAGAGCTGTAAACCCAGATTATTTACCAATTATCACAGGAGCCTGAAGCACCATCACAGCGAACCAAGTTTTTTTTTATAATTAAAGCCCTAGTTGAAAAAAAAATTGTGATCATTTCAAATACATCTACTGTTTTTGTACTTTTCAAAATTGGTTTACGAGATAAACATTTTTCTTTTCTATTGGCAAATAGTAACAAATATAATCCACAAAATAGTAATTAACAGCATTGAGAAGAGTCAGTATTATCGTCCACTTTCATAATACATAGATAATATGTTGCAATTATATTCTAAAATTATTTGTTTTTAAATGTCAGTTGATGTATCAGAAATTCTGGAGTGAATAATATAATACTTATTTGACTAAGATAGAAGAGCTTTACCACAAACCAGTTCTACCATACCTGACGCACTAGGTTTTATCGCATGTGTCGTGTTGTAATCTTCTTTTAAATTTCGTTGTCGACATTTTAACATAGTACAATATTGTACGTTATCTAAATTTAACTTAACATTATTTTAGCTATGTGCATCGTATAGGGGCCAATTTGTAGATTTGTAATTTTAGTAGTTTGGGATACAGGAGAGAAACTATTATTCTTATACGATATATCGTAATCTTTAAAATGTCATTATTTTATAAAATTAGTTATATGTAAATTTAAAAAGAAATCAAATCTACTCCATGAACCCCTGGACCCTGAGTAACTTTCTACAGACTCCTTAGGGGTCCATGAACCACCAGTTAAAAACACTGTAGACTATGATGACGTTCTGTTCGAATATAGGGTATAATGTAAATCCTAAATTTTCCCACAATTACCTATAGTTGGAAAATTTAGTTTTAGTTTTATCAATTTTATTTTATACATGTATTTGTATATGATTTGTTTTATAATATCGGTGGAGCTATATATTTATTTATATTTGTGTATATGGTAAGTAATATCGACATGAGTGAAGATTAAGTACATTTATTTTTGCAGGCCGAAAAAATGTACTATAGTGCAATTCACATGTTATAAATCTGAATTTAAAATTAACTAAGCAAATAAAAAAAGGTGGAATATACAAGCTCCGGTTAATTAATATTAATCTTTTACTTAATTATGATAATATAAGGTATTTTTTAGTTCAATTGAAATAAATTTATAATAGCTATGAAATAGATAATATGTTTGTAATTATCATATAATGACAAGAGTATTTTTTATTGCCGTATACACACACGATTATTGTTATTAGGTACATTTTTATAATATTTTATCAACCTCCCGCCCCCCTAAACCAATAAAAAATGGTCTCAACAAAAAATCCGAACATACCGAATATGTTTGAACAAAGTTTGAATTCAATTTTAAAACTATTATTTTGCAAATGTATTATATGAGATCACTTTTGGTCTTTTTAGGTCATTTATTTCATTTTTTATTGTTTTTTTTTGTAAATTTAAACTTATGCATATTTTATGAATTTTTCAGTGTTCATAGTATAAATATTTTATAGGTACGTTCTTTAAGATCTCCGTACTAAATTAATAAAATCTTAATTTAAAAATTTACACATAATTTGATTTTTATATTTTTTTAAATTATGATACTCGCAGTGTATTTTATACACAATTTTTTAAAAATTTTAACGAATTTATAATACTTTTAGAGAATTTTTTAAGATTATTGTATGACTACATTTTTTGAGATTTCAAGGTTTTTTAATGCGCTAAATTCATACGCATAAATTATTATTACCAACCATATTTTGTGTAAATAATACCGTTAAAAATGTGTATACCTAATACCTATGTTACGATATTGGTTATTTACAAAATAAAAATTATCACTGATATTCTAAAAAATATAAACAATATCAATATTGAGTTGTTTTGTATCAAACGGCGGCAGCTGTACTCAGACGGTATACTTAAAATAATAATAATATTGCTGTAAATACATTTGTTTCTAAAACTATTTTTTTTTTTGTTAATCGTTTAATAAATGACATAATGAAAATATATTTGTTTTTATTATATTATAATTTAAATAAGGAGGTGCAGGTGGCTAACCCTCAACGCTCTCCGAATTTTCTTTAGAAAAAAATGCAGCACTTACCCAAATTTAAAACTAAATTTTCGTGGTTATGGATTATACATTGTTCCGAACAATATTAACTAACGGCTGCATCCGATTGCGTGTCATCTCTTAGACGGGTTTGTCCGATTGCATTCCATGTACCAACAAGTTTATTTATTATGCACTTATGCTCACAAATTAAATTTTTTTTGGACGTTTCTAATTTTTAAAAATAACAAATTTATGGAGATGTTTTGACTAATGTATAAATGAAAATGAATGATTTGAACTTAAATTTATAGCCAAAAATAATTTATTCTGACTTTAAACTAGCTATTTATTCTGCACTTGAAGTTATTTTTCCAAATGCAATCAGAAAAAGATGTCGTTTTCACTTAGGGCAGAAGCAAATGGAGAAAAGTTCAATCAGTAGGTTAACGTAAAAATTTTTTTAAAAACAATAATTGAAATATTTTTTTAATTATTTTTTTTATTGTCATTCTTAAATATTCAAATGCCGTAAACGACTGTTTTATAAACGAAATCATGGCAATTCAACCCAACAATTATCATATTATAGGTACTTGCATTTTATGACTATTGACTACTTACTAAAAACTTATGTGATGGCTTACAGTTTATTTCCACCATCTTTTTTTGGTGAATTTTCTAATTTTACAATGTGTTCAACTAATGTTTGTGAATGATTCCATTTCAAACTGAATAGAGCATGTTTTACTATCTAAGTCCTAATATATTATTAGTTATAAATGAAAAAATTTGTAGTTCAAATTTAAATAATGAAAAACGTATAGGTGCATTCATGAAGGAATTTCAAAATAATGAAATTAATAGAATTCTATATGCACATTGCACACAAGTTGGTGACAACAAAATAAAAAAAACCATGCTTTTCCAAATTGCTACCTACCTAATATATTATATAAAGTTGAACATGACAATATAGACAATATTATAATTATTCCATTATTATTATTATTTTTTTTTTTTTTTTCATTTTTTATTTTTTTTTATTATTACCAATATAATACAATATATTATGTTTTGAAATTATGATATTCTATTCTTAAAATGTCTAAAAAAACTACACCAAATTGTATAATATTATTATTTATTTGAAATCCTATGTAATAATGTCAAGAATATTTACTTAATTAACTTAAACTACAAATGTTTTATTAAATATTCACAGTGTGACCTGCTCCAATATTTGGACATTCCAAGGTTAGAATGCACCTGGATATGCACCTTAATAAGCAGAAACTTATTTTCAAAGAGATATATTTAGCCAGAAATTAAAAATTTAAAAATTTTAATATTAATAAATTTATAAATAATAAAAAGATTTAAATAGATTTAACTGAAACATAATAGGCTTATAAGTAAATCTTGCTTAAAACTAGCTTTTTGGCGGAAAAGAGTTATAACCGATTGTCCAGTGCAGTGCTAATAGGATTATTAATTATCGCTTGGTGATTCCTTTATAACATCAATACATCATTGCAGGTCAAGGACCATCATTACATACAAAACCGAGACGATTGTAGGCCTTACATAATCGAGACCTTGAAGTTCATGTATGACCTACAGCTGACGTCGAGCATGACCGATTCCATAGCACCGACGCTTGCGCGCCCCAGGTACCCGTTCGAAGTACTGTTCGCCATCGGTGGATGGAGCGGTGGCAGTCCGACCTCAATTATTGAAACTTACGACACAAAGTCTGATCGATGGACGAGGATATTCCAAGAGGACACACACGGGCCGAGAGCTTACCATGGTACCATCGTCATGGGACCGTACATCTACATAATTGGAGGCTTCGACGGGTTGGAGTATTTCAACTCTTGTAGGAAGTTCAACACGGTGACGAAAACGTGGGAGGAAGTAGCGCCGATGAACTGTAAGAGGTAACGTTATTGTATTATGAGACTATATTATGTCAGCCATTACTCATTTATTGTATATCCGCAGCCAACAAATAAGTCTGCTTTTAGACAGTGTTAAAATTAAGAGCGATGTAACAATAACTCTTATAATAGTGTCTATCGCTGCAGTAGATATTTTTACGTCATTGGTTATTGCGATGACAATTATTCACAGTGGGTGGCTATTACAGAAGGAGCAAACTCCAATTTTCGTGGCCCGACTACACTTAGTATCTTAGTTTGAATAATTTATCATTATGTATAAAATAATAATACATAATTATTTCATTTTTTTTATATAAAACAGTTTAAAAGTTTTGCAATTAGAAGGGCTTAAGTTTGAGAGTTAAAAGGGCCACTAGCTACTATAAGTGTGTGATGTTAAGCATTGGATCTTCAATTCCAGAAATTATACCACATAATACAAACGTATAAATAGTATATACTTTTAATACCTCACTTTCCGTTTACACTAATTTCTGTCAATATAAAAATATTTTAAAAACACATTTATACCTATACAAAATAAATATGTTCAATGTTCATTAAGAAATCAGATATTGTGAATTAAATTGATGATTAAATTAACCGACGCAGATGTTATGTCAGCGTTGCATTGTTAAACGGCATTATTTACGCAATGGGTGGATTCGACGGCCATCACCGGCTAGGCTCTGCAGAAAAATATGACTTCGAACGAAACCAGTGGACGATGATAGCACCTATGACTTCCCAGAGGAGTGACGCCTGTGCAGCCGTGATGAATGGTAAGTTCTTAGTCTCAAATATGAAAAATCTATGTTCATCGCATGCTGTTGACAGTTGTATTTTTTTAAATATACATATTTTATAGCTAATATAATATTTTAAAATTTAAGGGGACAGCAGTTCACCACATCTTAAGGAGAAAAATTTATACGAGATGATTTTGATTTCAATTCTATACATATAGAGTACAGACACATAAGTCAAAGTATATTGTGATCGCCATATGGGGGGGGGGAGGGGGAGACACACCGGCTGACCCGGCAATATACTTTTTTAACTCCACTCGCCATTTAAAATAATTCCTATCCAAAAAAACTTTGTCATACGTTCAATATGTATAATAAATAATAATTATGTTAGTTGTTAGCTGTGGAACGCTATACCTACTATGTTTGTAACAGAAGTTACACACAATGTGTCAAAAGAAGCACTAGGTATAATATAATATAATGGTAATTTTAATAAATAGGTATTATTTGTTAAACCAAAATCTGTTTTTATAATTAAAATCTATCTAATCAAATACAATTTTGTCAATCGATAATGTCTAAATATCTTAACTTTTGCTTAACTACTGCAGTTCTCTTGGTGTTAATATTACAGTAAAACATACTTACTACCTATATATATATATATATATATATATATATTGCCTAGTGCCTACTATCTAACCTACAATAATAGTAATAATGAAAACTCTAAATCATAATCGTCATACAACTATATAACATTATCGGGCAGGCAAAATTTACATTACCGGTGGGTTCAACGGACAAGAGTGTATGAACACGGCCGAGACTTATAACGTGGAACTGAACGAGTGGGCGCTAATACCGGCCATGCAGACCAGACGCAGCGGAGTGTCTTGTATAACGTATCACAACTGTCTGTACGTGATCGGTGGTTTCAACGGGCTGGTGAGAATGAACAGCAGCGAGAAGTTCGACCCGACCACTAACCACTGGTCGCCGGTGGTGGACATGTGCAATCCCCGAAGCAATTTTGCTGTCGAGGTGCTGGATGACATGATATTTGTGGCCGGTGGTTTCAACGGAGTGACCACCATTGCGCAGGTGGAGTGTTACAACGACCGCACGGACGAATGGTGAGAACTAGATGGATAGAATGAATGGATGAGATGAATTGATCGGATGAATGGGTGTGATGGATAGGTGGGATGGATAAATTAATAGACGAATAAGATTTTTTTCTCTAGAATGCGAGGGTTGGAACTGTTTTTTAGAAACCAAACCAAAATTATAAGAATTTAAAAAATCGTTCTTAAACCTGAAATCGTATTTAATATTTGAAACGATTTTGAGCCCTGCTAGACAATATAAATACTGGTAGCCCAAATAGGTATTTAATACTCAAAACTAATAACAATAATGGACTAAACTATTAAAATATAAGTACATATATAATGAGTTAAGTGTAACACATCAAATAATTATTATTAATGTAAGTACAACATTGTAAATTAAGTATGAGTACCTATATTTGTATGATGTATATAATATAATATATGTAATAAAGTAATAAAAGTTGATTTTAGGTTCGATTTTTCAGTATAATATATTAATATGTCACCTTCTTGTTTTGTGAAAATTCACCTATTATAAATTATTTATTAACCATTTTATCGGCTTTAATATTTGTTATAGTAAAAATTAAGAGTTAGCTATAAAATATATTAAATATATACATATATATATATCTACCTTTATATAAATGAAACTACACATTTCCTTAAAATATCTATTGCCACAATACCTCGTAAATCATAACGAAAATCAGCCAAACTTACACATTTAATTGAACAGAATATTATGATCACATTATCGATGATGAAACAACTACTGCAATAGACACTTTAACTAAATCCAATGCATACTATATTATCGTCTATATCATATCATAAAAATATAATCATTTATGTAAGGCATAAAACTGCTAATGTATAGTCTTACTCGTATTGAGTCGTATATAAATTAATTACATTTGTAAGTGATTAAATCTTAAATGTCATCTTCTCCCATCCGATCCAACAAGACAGTTAGAACTTTTTCTCTTCCCCAAAAAATTAAGATGACCATTGTTTAATTATTCATAAGGTGAATGTTCAACTATGATAGATGATAATGTATGGGTAATCCAAATTTCTAAACTCCAAAGTCAATCAATAAACGAGCATTGTTATATGAACATTGACGATTGTAAGAGTTCATCTTCTTTGCATCAACACACTTGATCTTCGTATTTTTAAATAATATACATAATATTATGTTGTTTTTTTAAACTTTCCGATCACTCAACAGTCGCAAATTTTTTCCAGGTATATTAGAGCCCTGACTTAAGAACCTGCTACCTACCTCATATGGAACTAAATAATAGACATAGTTTTTCACTAACTACTTCTTGAGGGTCTAATTTAGTTCCTCGTCATTTTTGTATAGGAATATAGGATAGGTAGGTACAAAAACGAATGTAATAAGTTGAACAGTAATTCAGACTGCAAACAAAACATTTTTTTATTTTTTTATTTAACACATACGAGGAAGTTCAGTGTCGCAGCTTACATGGATCACCCCGTACACTACCAATATTGGGATCTTTAATTATGTTTTATTTCTTACCTAATATTATGAAGGTTCGAAGCAAAAAGCATGCAAGTCTACAGGTCAGCGCTGTCAGCTTGTGTCATGAAAGATTTACCAAACGTTGAGTATTACATGCCTCTGGACCGGGATAGACTGGAAGAAGGCCGGAAAAACATCGTGAGGAACAACCGACCGAACAATAATAACAATGACACAGAACGCGTCGACAACGAATCTGTCAATACAGTCGCCACTCAAGTGGACAATAACCTAGCCACAGAAGAAGACGACGACGTCGTTATAGTACTCGACTGATAGATTGCTAGCAGCAAAAATGACTGCAAAATTTTCAAAATTGTTGTATGTAATCGTGCAGGTTGACGAGGTATCAAATATATTTTAAAACTATAATATTATGGTTTATTTAAATATTGACCAATTAATGAAAATGCGGACGGTTTCGGTGACAAATATATGTAAGTACCGAACCTATTTGCCTACACTTAGGTGGCAATTTTAATATTTTGCACTGAATAATTATCATTACTTATATTGAGTTATATTATTATTATGAAAGTGTACTAACTTATTTTGTTTTGAAATAATCAACCATATTTTAAATAAAACATAGTAAATACTATTGAGCTGATTCATTTAAATGGTGATTTTACACCGACAAATATTAGCACGCTTAACGCTTAAAGAGCTTCCCTATTCTAAAAAAAAGGAAAAAAGGTTACATACTAATATCTAATACAAAAAATCTATAGATTATTGTTCACAGATAATCAATCATGGATCAATATTTATCACGGATCTTCATTTTGCTATATATAAAGACATTAAAAGCCGTCTTAAGACAATAGCAGGTATGTGTAATATTATGACTAGGGCTCGGATTTATATGTAAATACATATTTTTACTGTGACTTGATAAATTAATTTAGGTAAGTGATAAATTCGTTTCAAGGGATTTCCAATAAAATGAACTATATTTTATTTTACATATTTTTACATATTTTGCCATAAGTACATGTTTTTACATATTTCTCAATAATTCCATTTTTCCTACATATTTCGATAATTTGTTCATTTACGATTTATTATTTATTAATACAGACTTACCCATGTTTAAAAAAGTACAAAATAATACTGTAGAACTTTTTCCTTCAGACATAGTCAACGTGCAATATTGTCCTATAACATCAGTCGAAGTTGAGAGATCTTTCAGTCGATATAGATCAATTTTACGACATAATCGGCGATCTTTCGAATTCGAAAATTTAAAAATGCATGTCATTATTAATTGTAACCATAATAATTAGATAGTTAGATAAATATTTTTTTTTATTACATTTCATTTTAATTAATAATAATATTTTTTTTTTTGATAATACATATTATAAATTTTTTAGCACATATTTATGTACATATTTTTGCTGCATAAATACATACTCTGGTTAAATAAATACATATAAATCCGAGCCCTAATTATGACTGACATAATTGTCTGCAACTCAACATTGCCGCCTAAATTTTACTTATATGATACAAATAATTACTAATTAAAGACTTTCAAACTTATTGTAATCTCATATTTTTGTTTTTTTGCTAAGCAAATAGCCAGGTCAAATAATAATTCCATTTAGAATATCAGGAATCATGTAATCTAAATGAAACAATTTATACACACATTTTTGCATCGTTCAAGAATTTTGCTCATTATAAATTATAATCTAGATTTTTAGCGCTTTATCAAAAAAAAAAAATTGTTTTTAAACATTAAATATTAAAATGAAAATTAATATTAATATTTCTGCAACATTGAATAGTGTGCGCTTTTCAATGCTATATACGATTTTCGCTTCTTCCCACCACGACAACAGTCTTCTAAATACATTGACTCATTATATTTTTTTTTGAAGGATCTTATATCAATAATATTTAATGAATATAATAAATTATACAAAATAAAAATAATTCAAATTACAAATAAATATAAAACTAACATGTCTATTTGAGTGTATTTGGGCTATTATTATAAGCCCCTAATCTACCTAGTAATAAGTAAAGGTATAGCATTACTGCAATATATACATAGAATAATATCGATAGTCTGTATTAAAAAAGGAGCGTTATTACAGCCGGTTTTTTTTAAATCGTGGATTTTTCTAAATAATTAATGATACATAGTTTATCTAACAAATACTTTAATAACTATTAGATACCTACCTATAATAACTATGTAAATAGAAAGTTGGGTTCCTCCTACCTATTGACATTAATTATAGAGTGAAATTTTCTGGCATCTTTTTTTTTTGTTGAAAGATTTTTTATTATTACATTAATACAATATAATATACAATGTATTAAAAGAAATAACGAAAATTACCAACTCGTTACTTGCATAATATTTTAGCTAGTAGACATTCTTTAATTTCTTTAAGTTAAAAGAAATAGTTATTGTAACATAGAACTTAATAAAAAAATATAAACAATAGCTCATCAATATATTTATGGTTTTTTTTTCATTTTAAAAAATTATTCGATTATGTGACATACCTTGCAGTTATCATACTAATTAAATAATATTACGATGTAGTGATCATAGTGGAATATAATATGTTTTGTTTTGTTTAGTCTAACGTTTTGCCGTGTGGTCATAGCTCATCTTTCGGAGATAGTTTACCATAACGATTAGCTTAATTAAACGTAAGTGGTAATATGGGTCAAAACACTAGACTAAACAAAACGTGCTCGTCACCACGTCATGTAGGATATCGATACCTATCGAGAATGAAATCCAATACACATCATTATTTTTACTGCGGTATACGGTATAATATGTACTACTACTATATTATATAAACCTTAGTGTTTACTATACCTAATGTAATGTTGTACAAACTATAAACAAATCACCTAATAAAATAAGGGGTTTAAATTGTGAAATGTTTCATAATATTATTATTTATCACTAAATGCTTAGTAAATTGGTTCACACCTTTGCTCGTTTAAACTTCTATACATTTGTATATATTGAGGTATTATACATTTAAAATTAAATTATAAGTAGCAATATGTACTTGGTGGTATACTTGGTGGTATTAAATTTTCCTCTGAAACACAATGACTATTCAATTACATTTAAAGTGGCTATTATGAGAAATAAATTGTCTGCTATAATGAGTGACCTTGAATTTAAAAGCGATGACACATAAATGGCGAATATTTGTATAGGAACTGGTGCTTGTTGACATTTTAAAAAATAGATGGAAGTCTCAAATATTACTCTATGTATATTCGATTTCTAATCATTAAACATCTCCACTGTACTTACTCACTAAAAAATATTTTCCGATAAATAAAGTCACATAATGTCATTAAAATGGTCAGTCTAATAGATAAATTTTCAAGTTAATAATACCTATAAATCTATACGAAATAGGGTATTTATTATTCATAGATATATTAATTTCTCATAAACAAACAAACTTACTCTCCATAAACTATTATAAAACAGTTTTACTCATGTTTTTGAAATATAATTTGTACTACTTATTTTCTTTATTGGCTGTTATTATGTTTGAATAATTGAGTAAATATGTTAGTTTCCAGAATAAGGTCATACAGAATGAGGTTTACCACGTTTACAGTTTGATTGCATATTAAAATATTATTACCTATATGTTATGGAAATGAGAATAAGTAATTTCTTGTTTTAACTGTGTATTCAATTTTTTACATAAAAACATTTTTGAATTATTATCGAAAAAACATTAGCATTATTAAAACATTAACCAACCTTTAATATAATACTACAAAATATGTAAACCAATGTTATTAATAATATTGCTTATACATGCTCATATTCGATGTATTCGATTAAAAACATAAAAATTAATATCTACAGCAAGGCGATCGCGGCCGGCGGTCAATGTACCAAATGTCTAAATAATACCAGATGCGTATATATCTGCTAATATTCAATACAGATTTAAATTATTATATTATTATACTATAATATATGTTCAAACATCTATACCTAGGTATTATTATTACAGCCGTCGGGCGTACCTCGTTGATTTGACTTGAACAATTTGTGTTGGTGTAATAGTGTCTAATTAAGTTATATCCGAATCAAAATCGTTGTTCATGTAGTATGATTATATATTTACATAATGGTTATAACTTATAACTTATACTCTTTGGTATTTGCCTAAGCAAAAAATGATCGTATTTTGAAAAATTCAAAACTTTAAGTGATCAGTTATATTAGCGCCTAGTGTCAACGTAGACAAATATCTCCTCAACTCGTCTCTGCAGGTTATGTCTTCTAGTCTTTGAAATTTGAACAATTTTTTTTAATCATCAATCATCACATAATTTACTTGACGCATTAAATTATTATTGTTTTCACCAAGTGGTACCATTTGTGTTATGTTTTAAATAAAAATAAAAATCCTGATTGGACAAAAACCGAATATTAATATGGAGGCTGTGGGTACCTACGGGGCCGTGATAAAACAACCGAAAGCAACAATATAGATTAAACAGATTTCTAAACGGAGCTTAATTAAAACTATACTCTAGCTATCTATCCGAAATTTCGTCGAAACAGTTTGACTGTTAGTTATTAGGCTTTATTTTCATATTTCCAAAAGATTAACTTGTATAACAAATGTATATGATATTATTGTGATAAGTTAAATTATTAATTTCTTTTAAGTATTCAAATGCGTCTAGTATAACTTTCTAAGTTTAAGAAGTGGTTGTGTTTGATATAGAGCTTGTAGAGATGAACTCTAAATTATGTATAAATATTATATAATACCCTACCACTATAAATATACAAAATAATAATATAATATTTTTTATCAAAATGGCTGGATTCATTTTATATATTATACATGTATAATGATTTCCAATACTTATTCAGAACTTTTACAAACCTACCGTGCACTACTGGCAGTGACGTGTTCACAGGGGTCGAAGTGGGCTGTTCATGTCCGCCCCCAACCCCGTTCTAAGTCATGAAGGAATTAACAATATATAGATGCTGTTACTGTGGCTATTTATATTTTTGTTCCGTGACTTTATTTCCACGTATTATATTTCAGATAGCCTCGTGGATACTATTCGCTGTAACGTAAAACGTCCATTATAATAATACACATTAATATTCTTTACTGCAAGATAATAAACTGACGACTTGTTTCAGTAAAGTTCCAAATTGTACACAGTAAAATGCTAAGAAAATATGAAATAATAAAAAATACGAATTATCAACAATAAAAAAATTGTATTGGTAGATCATAAAACCACTAAAAAGCATTAGAAACACTGTTATTTAGTATCACATAAAAACATTACACTTATTACACCCACTACGGTTAGGTTAGGTTAACATAGATTCGTTAGTTGTAAAACCTACTAAAAAATTGTGCTTGTCGTCACTTACTGGGCCCTCCCTAATATATATGTACCTATTGAACTTACAGAAATACCAAGATCTTG